TAATAGTTGTTTTGAAATGATTTAATGTGGTAGTAGGTAAACTTGTGGCAATATTATTTGATTGAGTAGTTAATTCAATTTGCTTAATCGTAATTATTTCAGTTGTCGGTTTATTAGTAACATTCTGTTTCATTGCAATTGTAATATCGATTGGGATTCTACTTGTAGAATTAATTATAATTTTAGGAATTTCTATGGTGGTTGCATTGTTTATACTCTTTTCTGTACTGGTAATGGTTTTATTATTTAAATTAATTGTGGTGTCGTAATTGTTTAACGGTGATCTTTTATTAAATGATAGTTTAGTTTTATTATCGTTATTAAATGTTTTGTCATCTAAAATAATATTTTGTGGCATTGTTGGTTGATCCTCAAATTCGTCTTCCTCAAATAAAGGCATTTTTTCAAACATTAACCAATATTCCATATCGTTTATTTTAATATCTTCAACTGTTCCTCTTAATCCTATCACTTGGATTTTACATGATTGTTCTATTTTAAATTGTTTTCCTGACAATCCTATATCTATTTCCTCATTAATTATTCTCTCAGTGTTACATTTTAATGTTAATGAAGCTATCTTACAGTGACCATTTAAAGTATTTGGAATATTTATTATATTATTTTGTATTACTTCTACTCCTGTTATTATAACCTTTCCTGAATTTTCGTTCCCTGTATTATAATAAATCCTCATTTCGGAACCTTGTTTATTTGAATATCTTGTTTGTCCTTGTCCAGCCAATAAACCAATGAATCTATAATATAATTTATTTTTCTTTTAATTGTTTATTCTTCTATACTCTAATAGATCATTAGGTTCTGGTACATAATCCATGAATTCTAATAACGTTTCACACCACGAGTAATTTAACCTCCCTCTATTTTCCGTCATATCTTTCAAAAAACATGCAATGTTTTTAGTATATTCATTTATTTGTAATCTCGAAAATGGTTCAATTAAACTATGATTCGCTGTACTTATATGGTTTAGTAAACAATTTGGTAGCTCATCTTGTATTAATATATCAATTTGATGGGTCCCATTTTCAATAGCCCTTTCTAATTCCAATATGAAATTCCTTTGTTTTTCCCTAGAATAATTTAAATTTATTTTATTATTTATTAATTATTAATTACTTATATTAATATTATTTGAACATATACTTTAGCTATAATTATTATTTATTTTGTCAAATAGGATTTTCATGATATTTTTTAACGTCATTTTTGTGTACTGTTACTTTACGTCTCCCCCTTTGAATTACAATATTTTCAGAATCTAATATTTCTAAAACTTCGAAAGGTCCCTTCCATAAAGGCATTAACTTATTCTTCTGAGTGTTATCTCGTAACAATATAGAATCTTTTACATGCATTTCTTCACTATGTACATTATTATCATAATTAATTTTTGATTTTAATTTCTTTTTAATCAACCTTTCTCTAGCTATTTTATGAGATTCCTGCATTCGCTGTTTTAAATCATAAAGATAATCATCATAATTATATCTCGGTTCTGGATTACTTTTTATATTTACTGGAATATTTAATTCTTTTCCATACAATAGTGTATATGGTTGATAATTAGTGGACGTATGTTCTGTCGAATTATAAACAAATAAAGCGTAAGGTAATAATTTATCCCAAGTATTTAAATCTTTGTCTACATAATGTCTCAAATATTCAGCTAATGTTCTGTGTGATCTTTCTAATCCTCCGTTTGTTTGTGGGTGATAAGGACTGGTATTTATTTTATTTATTTTTAATAATTTACATACTTCTGTAAATGTTTTACTAAGAAAATCTGTTCCTTGATCAGTTAATATGGTTTCAGGTATTCCGTGAATACATACAAAGTGTACTACGAAAGCTTCAGCCACAGTGTTGGCTGTATGATTTGGTATTGGTACTCCTAACGAATATTTAGTTAAATCGTCTTGCATGGTCAAAATATAAGTATTTCCTGATACTGTAGTTACTAATGGTCCAACTATATCTAGGAATATCTTTTCGAATGGCTTTGAACTCGTTGTTGTTATTACCATCGGTTGTTTAATTTTTTTA